GACATCAGCTTTATTTGATTATAATTCTTTGATATTCAAGATTATTAAAAATGCGTTTATGAATTGTAAGTGCACAATTTTCATGTATGAGCTTTGATAAACTTATAGCTGAGGGCTTGTTTATTCTAAACATTAATAGGAGATTATAATTTTTACCTAATGTTGTATGCTAGATTTGTGAAATGAATCGAAATTATTCAACAGTTTTGAAAGAATCTAGGTATTTTGCCTTGTGACAAGTTCCTGGAACTTTCTAATATGGGTAAATAATCGATATAATCAATAATATTATTTATTTTGTACATGATCTACTTGTTTACCTGTCCGCCTGTATACATCTGTACATTCATTCTTGTCTATTAGTTTACTTCCCTACCTCTCTACCTGTTTAACTGTCTACCTGTCTACCTGTTTATGTGTCTAACATATCTAACAGTTGGGACTGCCAATCTACTTACTGGTCTGCTTTTCTTCTTTTCTACTTTTTTACCTGTTTTGTCTTTATACAAACAATTTTCCTTGTATATGAGTCTATGAAAAGTATAATTGACGAACATACTCGTCATGGAAAAGTGGTAGAATTTTGTGTATTGACGAGTTTTTTGTCATATAAAACAGTGACCTTTTGCAAATTGAATCAATATTTTTGATGAAAGGAAAATATATTCTGCAATGTAGAGTTGTTTAAAATCTTTTGAGGCTATATAAATAACACCTTATACTGTTAATATTGAAAATTGTTATTGCTTTTCATCAAAAATGATGTATGCTTTCTTATATTTGCATGTGTAAAATTGTAGTAAATTTAATCTGGTTGTACGTTAATACATAAAATATATGTTTATGATAACCAAGAAGTAAAATGTGGTAATAACATTTTACAATTTTGTAAAATAAATCCATTTTCTTATCAATGGCTAAGGCAGAGCAAGTTACTTTATGATTGACGAATATACTCGTCATGGGACACAAAACTGTGCTCACTGTTCGATTGGAGCGCCACAATTAACTGGTTAAATGCATTTTTTTAATTTTTATTTGAGAAGCAACCCAGAAATTTTCCTATAATCTATTGGGGTAATTTAACTTAATTTTACGTCTGTTTTATAAATGGCAAATGGCAACCCAAAAAGTTGTCTCATCTCTGTGTGATCAATTTTATTATTGCAATTTCTGTAATAGGGCGTATATTTCATTGGTTCAGCAATGTTGAATGAAGTTTATTTTTACTTGGAAACATATTCCTATCTATATTTCTAAATATAAATTTTTTAGTTAATTTAAGACATTAATCGATCGATAAAAAATACAAAATGTTTGTATAATTCCTGTGTGAATACCAAGAGCAACTACAGTTTCTTATAGTCGTGTTAAGTCGAATTCATTGTCCATTATCTCAAAAATGTTCAATTTCCGGAATTCATCAAAGCGGGCTCATGAACATCCGCCAACTCTCGAATTATTACTCTATTCAAAGCAAAGCAAAGCTGAAAGTTATTTATATTTTTTGGGAAAGCGTCAGTTTGCGTACATTAAATGTTTAAATGTTTTGAGGTTCTATTTCGCGAGTTAACAAGTGTTATTATCGCATCCGTATCCGTTCGGCCCAGTTCTCTGACGGTAAGTGACATTTAATTGGTGCCCCGGAGACCGGAGAGATACAATTATGCACACCTCAGTTATGGAAATGTTCTGGATTCACCTTCTTAATGCATTTCTTATTAATGCGATTGTGGTAATAAATGATTGATGGTAGCTGCGTTTAATAACTTTATTATCATATTAATTGAATTAGCGTGATAATGGATTAATAAGACTTAACCATCACGGTAATTATTTACAACTTTTTTCTTTAAGAATAGGAAAATAGGATTTTTACATTTACTTTTACATAAAACTAATCAGTATCTTTTCCAACCAATATCTTTCGAACAATTTTTGATTTTTTGAAATCAATTTAGGATTATGAGCTAAAACATGGACAAAGGGTTTTACACTCTTTTTGCAAATTACAAAGAAACAACTTGGCTGGTCGTCGCATAAAACTGAGTAACGATAATCCTTATCGAGATATATCGAATGGCTTTTAAATATTTAAAATCGGATCAGGCGTTTTTGAGCAAACGTCGATAAAAGGTGTAATTTTGACAAAAGCGAAAAAAAACGCGACTAATTTTTTTAACTTTGACGAATTTTCAAAGTTGAATGACTTATCGTAGGGCCGTAATATTTTGGTATGATCTAAAAGACCATGACATCTATCGCAAAAAACTCATGAAAATCGAATTTTTTTTTCAACAGTTTATTACAAGACCTGTGCCTGCGTATCTTTACCAAAAACTAATCAGGACGATTCGCGACCAATATTTTTCGAGCGGTTTTTGAATTTTCAAAATCCATTCAGAATTGCGGGCTAAAAGGTGTTCGAAATTTTTTTCACTTTTCTGTGATTTACAAAGAAACGGCTGATAAATGTCAGTTAAATTAAATTTTTGAAATCGGTCTAGCCGTTTTTGAGTAAACATCGATTTATGGATCTGTTCACGCACACATCATTTTTCTCAATTTTGTCTCGTTCGATTCAGAAAAGCTTTAAACGTCGAGAAAACATAAAATTATCGAATCGAATTTTTTGATGAAAACATAAACTTCTCCTTCGGCAAGTTAAAAAAGGAATTTTTGGGGGTAAAAAGTATATATTTTTAATTGCATAATTTTATTTACTATATTTGCTCTGTAATTGTCCGTATGGCGTAATCTCTCTTCGCTATGGGAGTAACAAAAATATTTTGGTGTAATGATTAAAATAGTTTTCCGACCTCTACCCTATTTAAACATTTTAAAAGAATTTGTTTTTTAGGGTATTGAGGGATATGTTATGATTAAGTTATAACGAGGGATAAGTTATGACTTCTCAGATACCTTCATAATAAGATTAGCTTCTAACTAAAACTTTTATCTTCGTTATCTTAAGACCAGCACATTAGTTTTAAAGAATAAAGTATATTTTGGTTGACAATAAATATATGCATACCAAAAAAAAATTCTTGAAACTAAACTTTAAATAAGGTTTTTGAGTAAATATAGTATGAGAATTACATTTTATTAATATACGTTGTTATAAACACTTTATATTTTCAAAGACTATGAAATCTATGAGAAATGAAAAATATGAGATGCAACCCGTAATCCATAATAACATATATATGGAAATAATAATAAACATTATTTTAAATTTTTTCAAACTTGCTTGTAATAGGTAACTGAAGTAAAATTATTTAGTACCTACATATGAAATAAAGAGGCTAAATGTAAACATACAAACACCAAAAGTATTAGTCATAAAGTTCTCTATTAGAGAGTCTAATTAATCACCAATGAAATTTAGGGACCAATTCTCCGACAGAGTAGACTGTAACATAGTTTTGTTATGGCAACGGGAGATGTGGTGATTAGTTTTAGACAAAGGCAGGTCCAGCCGTTACGGAGATACGGAGCGATGAGTGCAGAAAATAGAAATCGAGATTTTGATAGGACGGAGTATCGGATTTGAATGATCCAAATAACAGAATCTTATTTTATTTATATTGGTAGTAAAAACTGTCAAAATAATTTATGGTTGCAGTCAGGCGTTTCAGATACAAAAACTAACCAAGAAAACGCACAATCGTCATCAAAAGTATCTTATGATAACTGCATTTTTCTGATGTAAATTTATAACATACGTGAAGTTAGGTTTTATGTGTAAATCGCAAATACATAGCTTTTTGACAGTTTTTACTACCAATTCATATGAAGAAAGGAGCGTAACATAGCGTTATTGTGGCAACAGTCTATTTGATCAAAGAATTGGCCCCTTAATCTTGACTTGAAATAAAAATATCAATATTGGCTGTCACACCTAATTGGGGGTTTGTATCTAATAGAATTCTAACTGAAAATGGTACTTGGGGGTATTCCTGTAACATATAGCATTACTATTAAAAATATCCCATAATTTCAACGCACAGAGGAACAGGACAACTATTGGATTGCCTTTTCATGAAATATTGGTAGTAGAAAATACATCAACAGTCCATAAAGCTAATAATATTTCAGATTTCTATTCATAATGATAAATAAAAGAATTGGAGTATTTACACCCTATAGATTCAATTGTCAAATAAATAAACTAGAGGATAATTTGAAATTTTTCTGTAAAAAAAACTTTTAAATGCCATATTCCGCATTGTAATATATATTCAAGAATATGTTATTTAATAGACTATTATGCAAATGCTTCCGTGTATTATAAACAAGAATCTTGATTTCTAAATAAAAAATCTTTCTAAATAAAGTAAAAAATGAATTGTGGTAACAAAGTTGACATATATAACTAGTTTTTCAAGCATGGTTTATCGGTCCAATCGAGCAGATTTAAACCTGTGTTTTGTATTCACATTTAAAACTGATATGCACATAAATTATAAATTGTCCATGTACTGCAATTATTGAAGATAATTAATAATATTATAAAAATAAAAATTATGTGTATATATCAATTTTACTTCATTATGTGTTACAATAGTTTTACAATATAAAATCAATCTATAAAAAATCTATAAAAAATAATCATAAATAAAATAAATCTTTGAATTAATTCTTACGGTCCCATTTTTTGAGAAATGATCGATTAAAAAAAAGATGTTTAATCCTGTTGTTACAAAAACCTATTTTATTATATAATTAGTTATTTTTATTATATTATATAATTAGAGACAAAACTTTTAGAATTGATTGAATTGAACTATGTAGAAAGATCAACCTTTAAATCTACTCATTCTAATGTTAATTTGTTATAATTTTTCTTATAGACTAAAATTTTTAGGATTTAATGGCGCCTTTAACATTTGAACATTTACTATTGAAGATGGTAAATGATGATATTATTTGTTATGCACACAAGAATAAAATAAAAATTGAAATAAACATTTAATAAAAATATTTGGTCTATTTTTCAGCATGTGAACATTACCGAAAATCGGCAGCCCGCCGAGCGAAAAGCTTAGGAACCACGTCGGTTCGGGTTCCTCGTTGTAAAGCTGACGGCGAATGGGAACGCGTACAATGCGGCCCTGGCGGTCAAGGCCCTTGCTGGTGCGTCGATGAAGGAGGAGCTGAACTACCAGCGACCAGAGCACCATCTAGGGATCTGGTGAACTGTACCGGTTAGTTACAATTTTATATCATACATTGCACGAGATAAAATATTAACTATTGTTTATTATTAAGTTATCTTTTTATACAAAGAGTTCTTAAGAGTATGAATAATATTTTGAGTATATGAATTAACAAACAACAAGAATATTTTATGCTTTAAAGTTTCTTATTTAGCTCTGACGGTTTCTGATAGTTGTCTTCAATCCCCTGTATACTTATCATAAAATATTCATAATTCTAATTAATTTGAAGCAATATGAAACCCTTTTGTCTATTACGAGTAATAGTAAATTTAAAATATTTTTTGAAAAAATTATTTTCGCAATATTTTAATTGTAATTTATGTTACTTAAATAAACAAATTAGTTCAAAACAACAATAATATTATAGGGAGTAGATATTTATAAAATTAAAATTAAATTGAATTGAATTATCTCATAAATCAGATTTAAGGGTTAATGCATTAACTTACCCTAAACTGAAAATTTAATGATTTATAATGTTTTTTGTTCCTACTATGTATTAAATATTTTGCAAAGTATTGTATATCACCAGCATAAATTTAAACGTAAGCTACATTTTATGGTTTTAATACCTATGGCATATGGATATAAGTAATATAGTCCAACTAAATTTACAAATTGTCAATACTCTTTGTCAATCTTTTCTTGCATATATACATTTCTTTTTATTCTACATTTTATAATTGGTCAGTTTCGTAAAAATGAAAGTGCTATTCAAACTTGTTATATTGATTACTTCTATTTTTGTTAGGCTGGCAGCCCAACCTTAATTATTCTTGCATCTATAATTGCAGACATCTACTTTTGTAACTATATTTTTCTCTTTGCGTTATGCAAGTTAATACAATTTACATACAGCATGCAAATTTTCAACGTAACGATTTGATGTATCTCTGTTCAAATGTTAAAAGATGTTATATAAAAGTACATGAATATGTAATATGCAGAAGTTTATAATTCTATAGTAATAAACAATTTGCATGACACAGAGATGAAATATAGACATTGGAAGAAATTCCGCTAAAATGCACTAACAATTTTATAATTAGAATTATGGTAAAACATTTCTATGTTCATCTATAATTGATTATAAACTTTCTATTTTTATTACTGCATTTATTACATTAAATTTTGTTTTTCTGTACATTAGTTGCGGAAGAACGGTGTCCAGCCCACTCGTGCAGGATGCTTTGTCCGTTGGGATTCGCTCTGGATGAAGCTAGTGGATGCCCGCGATGCGAATGCAGGGATCCTTGCGCTGGTGTTCAATGTCCAGGAAACCAGCAATGCCGATTGCAAGATGTTGCTTGCAGGACGCAGCCTTGTCCACCCGTTCCAACTTGTTAGTTGATCATTGATAAATTTCTCCTATTAAATTTACTATTCAATTTATTTTGGTTCAGATATAATTAAATAGTTTATTTAGTGTAAATGAATTTTTCATAAAGTTCATGAAAAGTTTAGATTATAAAGTATATATGTCTACGTTTTAATAATCAACTTAGGCAAACGTGCTCGTTCGTTGGAAGAGTTATGTCCAGTTGGATCACCATTGTCTATAGCAGATACCAGAAGGCCTTTCTTGTGTGGAAATGATCCTGGTAAACCAGATTGTCCACCAATGTATCGGTGTCTCGTACAAAGAGGTACTAAAAAAACAAATAGTAGAATTAAAATGTATATATGTTTAATTTTCATTTAAGATATTTTGTTATAACATTTTTATACGATGAAGATTGAATTATATTCTGATAAGCAAAAGCTGCTATAAATTTTATCACTTAGTTAATCTAATTTAAAATTGTTCTTTTAATGAAATTTACATATTCCAACATGATATTCACTTTTACTATTTACAATTTCTTTTACTACTATTTATCTTGTAATAGTCTTAAAATTATATTTATTAAAAAAAATATTTGCAGGAAATGAATATGGAGTATGTTGTCCAGCTTCACTCCACATTCGTAAACCAGGTACATGTCCAAATGATGATTTGACACCGATGATGGCAGCAGCTGGACTTATTCCTCACCAAGAATGCACTTCCACTTGCCAACATGACCTCCAATGCCCTGGTGAAACTAAGTGTTGTCAAACCAGAGCTTGTGGCGGCCAATGTAGACGCCCTGAAAATGCCACAGGTAACAGAAAAAGTTAAATGAAAGATCCTAAATTTTTGATATATTATAATTACCAATTTGAACTGATATTTTTTTCTCTAAGTTTTATGTGACCTTTGTAATAATTTATTTAACTATTGCATCGAATTTGACAGCATGCCACAGACAAAGATTACTCTCAGAAGTTTTAGCAATCGGAGAACGGGAAGGACGTGGGTATATTCCTCAATGTGACCAAGAAACTGGTATGTTCCTGCACAAACAATGTTCTAGAAATGGCTTAGTCTGCTGGTGTGTCCATCCGCGTACTGGTGATAAACTTAAAGGTACCATGGGGTCATCAAAGGATGTCGATTGTCCTGCGGAAGTGATAGGTAATATTTATCAATAGTATGATATTTTGTATACATATTCAAAAGTTGTATAATATTTAGTTGCATTGTAAATTAGATGTGATATCCGTAAATACACAAATATCACTTCATTCCATTCTTTCATTTAAAAATATATGAAAGTATATATGCAACAAATAATGATAAAATGTAGAATCCAAACAAATTTAGAACAAGATTTGAATCTTAACCAACACTGATTCAAAATAAATTAGATTTTTATTTTTATTACAGAACGAGCTTCTGGACGAAGTTTAGTCGATGATAGCAAATGTGATAAAAACATATGTGCTGCCGTTTGCGAATATGGATTCAAAGTAAGTCTGTTTCATTTGAACATCTCATCTCATGAGTATCACAGAGAATTTAGGTTATACTTACTTTTTACTAATTATTGCTCAATATTTTATGGAAATTATCTTTTTGCATTTTTAGGACGATGAAAATGGTTGCCCAACTTGTGAATGCGAGGAACCATGCTCTGGATATAATTGTCCTGCAGGACATTCTTGTACTGTCGCCAGGGATGCTTCTTGTGAAATGGGTGGCGGTGAAAGATTGTGTGAATCGGTGCCTGTTTGTAAGTGGTTTCTTTATTTTGTTTGATTTTTTTACATGGCATCTTAGTATTTTAAGTACGCCGCACTACTTAGTCATTACTAGAGAAATTGGATTCGATTTTTAAATAAAATTCACCTTTGAATTGACTACAATATTGAGATCAGTTCAATATATTTTTAAAAAATAGAAACAATATTTTTAATGTATATTAATCATGTAGTTATCGTTATAATAACATTTAAATCACTACTATATTGGAGCATCATGTGTAACTCACTTAGTTTGTTACACTCCAATGATCTAAATTTGTTCAATAAACTTTAATTTTATTCAGCTACAATTTATTTTTGTCCACCTTGTTGAGTATTAATGAATATACAATTTTTCCTTCCTTCTATTTATGATAAAAATAATTGTCTCAATAGTGTTCATACAGACTACATAACATGTGTCTAATTTTTTCAGGTCGACCTGATGTTCTCTACAGCAATCCCTGTACGAACGGGGCACCTCTGACCTTGCAAAATTCAACGCAGCCTGTCCATTGTGACGAAGAATCGAAATGTCCTGCTGATTTCATGTGTACTTCAGTCCCACAAGAAAGTAAGCAGGTCTGCTGCCCCATCGAGAATGTTGATATGGAAGTTATTGCTGATAAATCAGAGGACCAAATTTCAGAAGCTACGGCTGATGTTGACAGAGTTCAAACCAGTATGTAGAAATTCCTTTTTTGAAAAGCTGACTCACATTATTTAGCTAATGATTTCATTTTAAGGATTCATTTGAATAAAGTAAACTGGATTAAATTCTTAAATTAGAAGGCCTTTTTATTTTAATTTATTTGTATTTTTAGAGAATAATTATTTGCTTGATTTTTACTAGTATAAAAAAATATATGTTCACTTTTTATTACAAAATTTACTTTTAGTGTGCGAATATTTGCGAGACTTTTCTGCGCGAATGGAAGGTACTGTTTCAGGATTGGAATTAGCGTTGCCAGCTCCAACTTGTGATCAGGATGGCAGTTATGCTCCTGTACAATGCGAAGTTGCTAATAACAAGACATGCTGGTGTGTCGATCGATATGGTAAAAAATATTTTAATATAACCTACCAATATTATTTTCAGCAAAATTATGTACAAAAACTTCTTATCTTGTACAAAGAAACACTTTTGAAAAGTAGTTTTCTTGAACATGTCATAATAGATTTTTTTATTGTGAATTTATTTTCTTATAATTTTTTTCTAGGTACCGAGTTGCCAAAAACGCGAACAACGGGCAATACAACTCGTGAAACATGTGAAGCCCTAAGGGAGTCTGTCCCATGTCTCGAAGTAAGTTGCAGAATGGGTTGCGACTATGGTTTTCTTCTGGACTCTGAAACAGGTTGTCCAACTTGTCAATGCAGAGACCCATGCGATGGTGTCACATGCAAGCCAGGAAACCAATGCCAACCTGTCGAAGTCGCTTGTGTAGATGGATATTGTCCTCCAGTTCCTGCATGTAAGTAGCAATTTTATTTTTATTAGAGATATAAAAAAATACGATAAAACCAATTTGCAAATTATGGGAACTTTATTAGCAATATCGATTTTTTCACATTTCTACAGTATTATTTTTAAAACAATGTATAAACAAAATAGTATAAATCTTGAATGTCTTATATATATACATATCCAATAAAACCAGAGTTGGTCATCTTTTCTTTCACATAACATGTGATATGTCATTATGTTAATAAGCTGTAATTTTAAATAATGTAATAAAAGTCATTTCTGAATTTTTACTAGCATTAGCAAATTAACCGATCTACAATATACATGGTTACAGAAAACCTACTGCATGAATATGTTGAGAAAAATATATGTTAATAAACTTATTCATAATATAGAATTCTAGAATTATAATAATATTATAATTTGTTTTATATCTCATTTACTATTTGCAGTCTTTTCATCATTGTAATTAATTTCTCAGGTTTACCAAGCAAACCTGGCCAATGCCCATTCCTTGTGCCACCTCCAACTGGAGCGGGCGAAGATATCTGCTCCGTTTCTTGTTCTGCTGATGATGAATGTTCTGGTGACAAGAGATGCTGTTCTACTGGATGTGGCACCAGATGCATGCAACCAGAAGTCAAAACTTATTGCCAACACTTGCAGGTGAGACATTGCAAAGTGTACTTAACAACTTGATAATTAATGATATGATGTAGTTACAAAATTAAAAAAAAAACAATTTAGGCCGTACAAATGCACAGAGCTCATGAATCAGGAACGCCTGCCAGAATGACGTACATTGCCCAATGCGATGAAAATACAGGTGCTTTTAGACCAGTCCAATGTGGTGCAGGAAACAGCTGTTGGTGTGTTGACGAACGAACTGGACAAGAATTACCGGAATCCAGAACAAGAAATGGAACAAAACCAAATTGCAATGGTGAGGGTGATAATATACTTTGGATAATTACCTATATTCGGATTATAATTGTGAAAATAAAAGAAGTATATAGTTTTCATAAAATAGGCCGATTTTGTCTATGTGACCACGCATATGCTGCACTATTTTATTTGTAAATCTAACAAAAAAAGAAATATTTATTGCCAAAAGCCAGATATTTATTTGCCAGATGAAAGTTTTTGATTTTTAGAGAGATACTGGAGAGAAAAAATTATGAGTTAAAATTGATGGAAGCCAGAATTTAAATCAACAAAGTAACATTTTTGCTAAAAAAAATATATCTAATCAACTGAAATTAAATTAAAATAGAATCACACCTCGCTATTAAGACTAAATCTTATCAAATGATGATTGATCTCGTCAATTCATCAAAATCCATCTGTTTGTGAGTGATTTTTGTGTAATAATTAATTGAATCTAATTTTTTCAGAAATACCATCTCGTTGTCCTGCTGTTTATTGCGCAACTGAATGTGAACACGGATATAAAATATCGGCCAGTGGTTGTCAATCTTGTGAATGTAATGATCCTTGCCAAGGCGTTCGTTGTGGACAACCGAATGAATCTTGCAGGTAAGAAAATTTTTGAAATATAAATTGGATCGATATGCTAGAGGTTTTCATTTATAATTGTATTCATGATATTGTGCATCGAGATATTATCAAAAGTTGCCAACATACCGTAATTATTTCTTCCAAAAATTAAACCCAAAATATTTAAAAAAATATTTTTATCAAGTTTTTAAAATCATGCATACATATAGTCATGATTAATTCATAAAAACATAAAACTGTGTAAAACTGGGCTCAAAAATGTTTTGAATTTTATAAAACATATCATTATATAAATTCATTTTCAAAAAAACGTTAGAAATAAGTATCTTGAAAATTTGTTTCTTCGCCTTCTTTCCAAGTGTTCCAAGCTGTGAAATAATTATAATAAATTTAATTTTGGTGCCAATGATTGTGCAAAACTTTCATATAGTTTCAAAATTATTTAGATTTTGATAACAAGTTATAATCTGTTTGAAGTATTTTTGAAATCTGTACTGCTTATAAATAATAAATAAGTTTTAGATGGATGATCCAATACTTCATTCCACTAAAGCAAAACATTAGAATAATAATAACAAGAATATAAAATCAAGTAAGGATACTACAAATAAAGTTATTAACACTATCATTGCCTTAATTTAAAAATAAAGTGAAGTTAATTTACCTTATTGAAAAATGCTCCATGAACACCAGAAGAATTATTTCCACAAAAATGATTCCATATAAAATTATCACTGTCGATTCACAACCAATTGGCGCAACATTTCTTTTATTTCCTCCAACTGCGCTTTGGTGTCCTCAATCGCTGTCATAGCAGCTTGTCCTGGCAATTCAGGAGCCGCTTCGGCCTCTTTATCTCGGAAATATCGTTGCACTAACTGCACCATAAGGTGAGGAAAGTTTTTGGCAACACTTTCGTCTTCTTCGATATCTATGTAACAGCAATTAGTCGGAGAGCATTTTGCTGTTTTCCCTGTGATAAAACAAATATATATTTAGAATATTTAACACGTTGATTCTTATTTTATTTTTCTCAATAACCTTCTGGTGGAGAAGCTTTAACTTTGAGCCAAGTCACTATTGAACTCAATCCACTTGCCGTCGGAAAAATGTTGAAAGGCGAAGGAAGCACTGTTTGAGACATATAATCCACATATACCTGAAATTTAAAACATATTCAAATAACCATAATTTTCTTATATTAAAATATTGACTGTATATTTTGCTGAAGACAAAAATGATTGATTATAAAACGTTAATTCTACAAAACTGCAAAGAATGTGTGACAACTTGAAGGCAATAATTAACATAAAATTTAAAATGTATGAGCCACACAATTAATAACTCAAATTATAATCCTGAATTTTTTTAACTAATATCTGCATATAACAATATTCAATTTTAGTGATTTTTATAATTCTCACTTCAGTCCTTCCAAATGTCCACTCAACTTCTACATTATCCGTGACCCTCTGGAAGGTGTTGCTCATTGTGGCAATCAACATATTCAGTATTATTATTACGGAAACAACTTCAAAGCATGCAAATGCTAAATAACCAACAGCTTCTGTAAAACTGTGTCTGTTTATTATAGTAGTGTTCTCTGATTCACCCGGAAGATTTTCGATTACTACATCGGCAGATTCTATTGGTGACATGCAAAACAGTGCCCAAAATAAGGTCTTGATCGTGTTTCCGAAACTTACGAAGCTGCTAACTTGCTGCGTTTTCATTCCTGTTTCATTTATAGGATTGACAAATGTAAATTCGAGATTCATGAGATAATTCTTGCGATGATTTATGGTTTTATCAAAGATGATTTCTGGTGTATTTATTTTATTTTTAATTTAAATTTTCAAGTGAACAGTAATATTAGTTTCCATTCTTTTTAATAAGTAAAAATGACTAACCTGATTGTTCATCAACTTGTATCATTCCATCATAATATTCATATAGTCTTGCCAAACCAGAGCTAAATGCCATAATAATGATCATGTAAACTACTACATATTTTGCGATATCAGCTGTCATTTTTCCTAAAGATACCTAAAAATGATAACAGTTTTACAAAAATATTCTTAATATTTGGTAATTTATCAATGTCGATCGTTACTTGAAGTGGTCCCAAGTGATAGTTCAGTTGACATAAAAACATTAATTTGAAGAAAGCCATTATCGTAGCTACGGTGAATGTTCCTTCCGCAAGTAAAGTAGGATCCAAGTGGTGCCAATATTTACGTTCTAATTGTGCACTGGATTTGTCCTCTTTGGAGTCCATTAATGCCGCAAGCCAGAAGAGAAAAGTCAATACGAACAATATAATCATGCATATTTCATACCAGTTCCACATTTCACGAAAATATCTGAAACATTAAGAATAATTTATTTCAATGTAAAGATTTAGAAATATTAAAAAAAATAGTTCACCTCCTTGGTCCTTGTATCGCGCACAATCTGCCTGTACTCCAAGCATACCCAATCACAAAAACCACAAGAGGTAATTCTAAACCAGATTTAGGAGGTCCACGATTTTGCGTTTCTTTATCCAAATTAGATTCAATGAAAACCAGGACCAAAAATACAATGTAACTGGCTGTGTGACTTATCATTTTATTAATGGGTAAAGAAAATCTCCGTACCATAGGAGATTTTGGAAGAATTAGGCAAATAATAAATATGAAAGGAAGCAAAAAAGCTCGAGGTATGAGTTCTAAGATACGTAGAGGTTCCGATCGTAGTTTCCATTCGTGCCAGTCGCCAATCCAGGCAGCCTCTAGAACCTAAATACATTGAACAAATATATTAGTTATTTTGCCTTGGTGATTTAACATTTTTTGTTTTTACTTTGATTGCACAAGCTATATTCTTACCTCAATAAAAATTGTATAATTTTAAAGTAGTAAAGTTTGTTTATTAATAAACAACAAAAATTAATTGATGAAGCGGTACACGCAGCAAATGTAGAAGATTTGCGAAGAACCAATTTTTATCAAGAACAGCGATGGTATCGATATTGAAAATTGGAACGAAAATAAAAATTAATTTTTTTTCATGGTAATACAAATATGAAATAATTAATATTATATCGAATTATTTTTGCACTGTAATATATTTTATATAGTTAACATCTCCTGCACTTTCAAGGCAAATAGAACTATGTCTTTTGTCTTTGAATATAGAATTTATATATTCCTATTTTACTCATTATTATTTCATGCAAATTTGCTGATCCGATATTTGCTAATTGAAAAGAAACGGCTCAGTTAATCACACACAAATTTCAAAATTTTGGCGTCAAACGATTCAGACATTTTGCTGAAACATATTTTTTCCTATGGCAAGTTAAATGAATTAGAACAATAGTTACAATTAACATAAATACCTGTTGGGTATTAGGATGTGCAACAAATTCTTTCTGTTTATAATCCATGGCCATAATTAAACGTGGAAACATGAACTGACATCCTCCACTTCCTAATCTTTGCTTCAGTACTAATTCTATCTCTTCAGTACTTCTGCAGCAACCGATAAGTTCAACAGCAAAATTGCCCACCTCCTATGAAAAGGAAATGTTATCACACGCGATTGAAGTAAAACTTTTTTGTTTTCACAGGATGGCATTTCAATTGTAAATAAATACATCATATAACAATTTTGAATAATGTTTCTTAGTAATATGGTAACACTAGTGATGCACACAGTTATTAGTGTCAACCATTATACACATTTATGTAATAATAAATTATAAACTATATATTTATAATAGCATTAAAAATATATATAATATTTGAAAACAATAATGCAATTAAAGTCATACTTCAAATATGAAATGATCGGTTTGTCATTGTAATTAGCATTTAGGTCTTGGACCTTTATTAGAGAAATGAAGTAATTGCTGATTAATAATTAGTTAGTTAATAAGATTTCATTCTATTAAATTTATCTGATGTTGAAATTGAATTTATATAATGTTCTATATGTGTGGACATTGTAGAAATTCATTGCAACTGACGATCCAGTATCGAAATATTGCTGCAGAAAAATACTTAAACAGAATACTAAGTATATACATTGCTTCATTTTAAAATCATTGTGATCATATTAAAAATCATTGGCTTATACTAAATTAGTCATTTAAAATTGATCTTATTTGCTTACCTGTGATAAGGCTAAATAAGCGGCAGTAAATTCACGTTCTACAAATGCCCTCTGTTTCAATTGCTTAGAAAGCACAAAAGCTGCATATATCGGATCATGAGAAGAATGACAGAGATATGCTGGATTTGTTATAGCCCTGTATATATTCAATCTAAAAATATAAATAAATATAATAGTTTATACATTAAAATATGAAGCATTTAAACTCCAAACTCCTCTAAAACCTCTTTGGTTTTATTCTTATATATATACTATGTAAAATTTTGAAAATTGCTTAGAAAGATTTTTCCAATTCCAACACTAATTGCTAGTTGGGTAGATCATTAACTAATTTTCTATTGTAGTTAAATATTCAATCTGTACTTACCTCTTTGTTGCCGTATACAAAAGATCTTCCTTATCTCTCTGTCTGCATTTTTCACATCTGCATGCCGGTTTATGTGGCTTTTTAATAGGCGGATGGCCACGTTCTAACAATTTGCCGATAATTTCGTAATGGCCACATTGGGCCGCCAACATTAAAGGTGTCATGTGCTCTGGAAAATCGGAACTTCCGGGCACTCCGTCAAACTCTGACCCTGGAGATGTTTCTTGCACTTTGTCGATCAGCATATCTAGATAATAAGAGAATATTCACTAAAAATTTACCTAGTCTATCACTATGTCTTGGAACCAATTTAGTACTAACAAATAGATACAAAAATTTGATAGTTGAGTTTTGGATTTCTATATTGTGAATATAAGTGAACAATATAATCATTTATATTTTTTTAAAAAATCTCATAAAAATAATTTCAGTTTTTTATGAGTTTATTATTATCTTTTACCTAATATATGAGATTGATTATCCCGAACTGCATGTAGTATTGTATCTGCTACGTCGATGTTACTTTGAAGCAGCAAAAATTCTACCATTGGTTCGGCGTGTGTTTGCACAGCCACGTGTAATGGAGTTAATCCCTAATCAATTATAAATAAATCATTTCATTATCATAAATTTATTGATGTAATGCAGGGTAAAGCGAGGCTAAGGTAAAAGATATTAAGCAGCCGTTACCTTAATTTCTTGTGAAATCGTTATCTGGCAAAGGTGCAAAAATAAGGTGTACCATAAGAAAATAGTAAATAAAAAAAATTAAGATAATTTTTTTTTAAAGTGATAATGGTGGTGATGGTAATGATAATTCTAGATGAGAAAGATCGGATCAAGGTTATATACAGTGTGATATTTGTAAAATTGCCCATGAAATGGGCTTATCGGTTGAATAAGACAGATATTGTTTCGTAAAATACTTCCAAAATTAAAAGTAAGACATTAGATCTGTTTGTCTTCTGGCTGTCCCTTTTGCTCGTCTATGAGATAAAAATGCCAGATGATAAATTTTAGAAAAATAGTAAATAATCATATTTCAATAATTAGGAATTATCTAACTTGTACGTAGTCCGGCAATTGTTTGTTTGATCCGTGTTATGTGCTGTGATGTAGATTTGATTGGATTAGACAGTGTAATTACAGAATGTCAATTTCAATTTTAGACAATACCACACACTTAACTTTAATATAAAGTGCTTAATATCTTCAAAAAAATAACTATTTGTTGATAAATTTTACATTCATTTTACTACATGATTTAAAATTTACCTGAAAATTGATGCAATTGATGTTAAACCCTGGATTGTCTTGCAAAAATAACTTAGCCATGTTAACATCTCCAACACCAACAATTTCAAAAAATTCCTTTTCCTTATCCTTCAAAAAAGGCAACTCGATGCTCGCCTTTCTCTCCAAACTACCCAAATCTTCATCTTCTTCGAGCAGTGGTACGTAAGCTTGATTAGAACCAAATATTTTTGATGACCTGTTATAAACAAAAATTGAAATTGAAGATTAAAAAGTTAAACTCCAAGAAGAATAGTGTGAGCGATTTTTTTATTTTCAATTTACACCGCAGTGTCTGAATGAGCTATATTCAATTCGAAACATATTTTTGGTGTACATTTATAAATGAAAATTGATATCACTACTGCATGATATCAGGTTATCCAGTGATGGGGTTCGACCATGTCCACACAAGGCAGTGCGCTTAATTTTTACACCAAATAACACCTAAGTACAGATAGATAATATAGATATTTTTAGCTATGAACTATGAAGATTGAAACATATATTGAAGCAAATAAAAAAAGCATTTTATTCTTAGGTTATATAATAAAATGGTAATGAAACAATTGAATGATTAGATCTTACACAAAATCTCATAAACATTCAAAAAAATATTTTTATTAATTGTAAATAAAATATGTATAAATTCAACATTACGTATTCGTGTAGATCTCTGAAATGCTTTTATACAACAAGAAAGTAACAGACGCAATCATCATACTTGAAACTCGTTAGATCTTGCTGTTGGACTTATAATCATAATATTTAAATTGGATTCTAATAAATCATTTATATATCATCTTATTATGCATTTCCTTTAATCATTAATATTTTCAAACTTTAAGTCATTAATATTTTCTGACATTTAAATTATTTGATGTGACATTTAAGGCAAAAAACAATTTGTTTATCTGTATATTCTACAACTAGTCTCAGGTAAAATGCGAATATATATTTGGAAGAGCGCTGAGCAATATTTTACTATATAATAGTTTGTTTTTTGTATGGTACTGCAATTGTTATATGCAAATAATTTTAACAATAATTGATACACATTTACCTTTTTGGCCACTAAGCGAACCCTGAGAAGATGATCTCTGTTGTTCTAATGATCTTGTTCTTCTAAATCTGACATTCTTTCCTAAATATGAAGGTCATATCATGTCCAGATTGTTGATAAATACCATCTATATGTTATTTTAGCAGTTATCAAAAATATATTTAGTGCACTTGTCAAAAGTTTTGTTTTTTCTAGAAACTTTTGCCATTGATAGCCTGCTTCAATTAAACAGATTTTCTTTGGTTGATAGTTGCATACATATGCTACATGTAAACTGCAGCATATGTTTTATAAGAGATACATTCTAAACATTGCGTAATAAGTGTTAAATTTAATCAAAATAGATTTTTTTAAACTTGTGGGGTGTATGGCATCGTGCCTTAAGGCAAATTGCTGGAACTTCCCGTACCGTAACGAAATGTTCGAGGAATACTGAATGTTTTCAAATAGATTATTATAAATATTGTAACATTGTCTGATATTTATAAGAGTTATATGAACTGAATTGCAAATTTAAAATTATTTGTTTGAGTTATATTAAAACTTTAGTCAGAATAAAAATAAAATCTGAATTATTTTCGATATACAAAAATAAATAAAAAAAAACATACAATTTTTTTTTCCAAAATCAATTATTTTATTAAGACAAGCAGAAAGTTCTTTGAATCATTTAAATCGGACGCTTAGTTCTCTCAAAAACTGCCATTTTTTACATATTTAGCTCCGTATCTTCGAAATGGCTTTTGGCTTGCCTTTGCCAAAAACTAATAAACACTTCTCCGAATCATTACTAATTGAATGTTTGTTAGATCATTCAAATCGGATACTCCCTTCTCTCAAAAATTCGATTTCTATTTTTTGCACTCTTTGCTCCGTATTTCCGAAACGGCTAGACCTGCCTTTGCCAAAAACTAATCAGCTCTTTTCCCTATCAATTGGAATCGAATGTTTTTTGAACCATTCAAATCGGTTGATCCGTGCGCCCGAAAACGTGACTGGAAATTTTTATCCATACATACATACATACACACACATACACACACTAATCCATTTCTCTGAGTATGCAAAAAACGTCAGAAACTTCTAAACGTCGAGAATGTAAAAATTTTGAATTTTGATTTTCGGCCCATTACAATAACTTACCTTACGGGAAGTTAATAATAAAAATACTTTTAAATTATTAACTACTAAGATTTATTTGACTTCTAAAATAACACTCAAATCATATTAGTCTTCTTTAAAATAATTTCACGAAATAATTTTCATAATTATATCAGTAAATAATAACAGATAGTATCGTCTTAGGGCAGGTCCGTGAGCTGAGTTAAACACGTCAGTGCCCAAAAATGCGCTATTTTAATTCGAAAACATATTTTCGATCTATATTTTCAAGTGAAAACGGACATTGCTACTGCACGATGTCGTGTTGTCCAGAGCTCAAACTCGGTCACACAAGTCTGTGAGCTTAACCATTACACTATAGAACGCCAATGAAACGCAAATTGTATCAGTATTAGTCATTATTAATAACTATATCAAAGGAAGAGATTATTATAGAACAAATGAAAAAAAAGTTAATCATCTTTAGTATTAACACCTTATCTAAGAATTTCAATATATAATACTTCAGAGGGTATACTCAAATATACCTACTTAATATTTACAAGGGCTTATTATAGTATATAAAACTGGCAAAGAGTCAAATCATATTTATTCTTGCCGTTGTTCTATCCATGATTGAATTTATTGATCATTAGATTTTAGATCTTCCTATGAATTCATGATGACATGAATTCAATTATCACTAATTATATTAGAGATTATATTATATGTAACCTTAAAAAAGGTTTTAACTCACCATGCATTTAAAGGCGAATGTCATCTTATATTCTTTATATTACTTATATTATTATTTATCAATATTACTTGATGTTAATAAATTAGCAGTTGTAATAATTATTGAAATTAAAAAAAAATCTTATATTCCTTTCCAAATTATTCTAAATTTAATTTATTAACTTTTTATATTCCTATTATTGCTCTATAAATTTGTTGTTTATAAATATTAATTTTAGATTACTTTTATTTCAGACATGTAGAACTGACTTGCTCCGACGGTCCTTGCCCACCAGTTGGAGTATGTATGCCTGCTCCAGACAACCCTTGCGATGGCGGAGAACCTCTTCAACGAGGAGGCCGAGAAGTTCTTTGTGGACTTCCGAGGATAGACGCTTGTCCATCCACTCATGAGTGCAGGATTAGTCCTCTACAACAGAAGTCGGTGTGCTGTCCTAAACCAAGTGAGTAAAATCATATTTGCAAACTTTAGATTTGCACAATCCAATGTATGGTTGCAGACTATCCTTATGTTTGATATTAGTAGATTATCTATGTTTCATAACTATAACATTATTATCTTTCTCATAGGAGAAGTATGTTTTGAGCCAGCTGTCCATGAAGAATGCGACTTGATTAAATCCACTAACATCACTCGATGGCGATTTAATTCCCTAACAAATAAATGCGAATCTTTCATTTGGTCAGTAGAGTGTCCTCTCAATCATAATCATTTCGAAAGTGCTCAAGCATGTAGAGACGTTTGTCCAGGTAAAATGATTATAGATATATATTTTTGTATTAAATGAATGATGGATTGAATATTCATCTTATGAAAGATGATATTTATAATAATTTTATTTTAAATTTTTAGTATTGACACAATGCGAACGGTTGCTGGAGAAGAACGAACGAGCTGCTGCAAGATATGGTAAATAATCGACAATGTTATTTTGACTACAATAATAATGATTGTAGTAATATATATATATATATATATATATATATATATATTATATTTGTACGTTATATGCACACCAAATTTTTGTCATATTTATTAACAACTATTTTTATATTTATGATCATAATGGCTTATAACATAAAGGTGCAACATTAACTGGTGATGCAACTACATATTGTTTCCTGCCCAAGTCTTCAGACGAATTTCTTTGAGACTAACAGAACAAATCTTTATTGATTAATGTTATATGTGGAAACAATGATTTCATGAGTATAATCAAATATTGCTTTTGAAAGGTATAGTATAATATTTATTGATATTTTCTCTCTGCAGGGAAAGGAACGTTCCTTCCAAAATGCGACCCAGAAACAGGAGCATGGGAACCAGCCCAATGTCTTGGCGGTTTAGCAGGTTCCAATCCAGATCAATCTAACTCAGCTGGTTTATTGTGCTGGTGTGTGGATCGGAAAGGGGTTCTTTTGAAAGGAAGTTTAACACGTGGTGCCGAACCTCAATGCAACTATAGACGGGCCCGTGGCAGATCGCATTCAGGACCTTCTGGATCGGTCGATGACGCTGGTGAACAGAATTTTTAAGTTACAACTTATATTTCATAACAAACTTCAGAAAATCACTTAATAAAGTTTTCTGAAAATAGACATATTTTAATGATTTAAATCATCGCAATGGTCTGCGATATGGGAAAATTCAGATTGAACTCCATAACATGAATATAAAAATGGAAAAATAGTTAGTAGAAAATGCGAGAGAGTGTTGATTCATATTTTGATACCACGGAGTTCAAAGCATGAATATCAAATATTATACACATAGATATAAAAATAAATGATAACAATTTTTTTAGAACTAGTTAATGACTTTATTCATTATTTTCAGTGCTGGAAGAATTGCTTCGCCAATTAACTTCATTTAATTTTGTGGAAAACATAGAAGAATCTAGAAGTTTCAACTCACCACAAAAGTCATTAAACCCACAAAATAATATTTTAATACCCCTCACAAACAGACAGTTGGATATTACAATAGAAGAAGAAATAAGTGAGTACAATAAATTTAAGATAGCAAAAATAGTAAAAAAGCAAAACGCTTATCTGTTTTTGTTCATTTTATGTATTTTAGATCATCCTTTATCTCAAGAGGTGAC